CCAGCTAGTGTGGAGGCAGCCATTGGGAGGAGCACAGTTCAGGGCCAGGCTGAATAAAACTGTTAGCATGACCCCATCTCAAACAGTAAGCTGGGTGTGGTGACAAGCACCTGTGAGTGTAGCTCTGTGGTTGACTGCAGATTCAAAGGATCCTGGTCTAACCTGAACTAGGACAAACCAGGAGGTGCTATGACAGATTTGCCTGAGAGAATAGTAGGCAGTAAATTACTGGTGTGGTGTGTCACCAACAATGATAAAACTGACATCATGCAGGGCACTGGTGGTTCATGCCTGTAATCCTAGATCCTCAGGAGGCTGAGATCTGAGGAGCGCAGTTCAACGGTGATAGAGGGAGGAAAGTCCAAGAGACTCTTATCTAAAATGGACCACCAAAAAGCCAGAAGTGGCAACCTTGAACATAATGTTTAGGGGCAGTACCTATGCCCTGGGTTCAAGTCCCATTATCAAAACACATACACACACACACAACTAACCTCATACAAAAGTATATAAGAGTAAATTATTAGGAAAATACTTTATGTTAAAATACAAATAGAAAATTCATCTACTATAGGCAGTGGATCACAGGTCCTCTGTAGTAGGTGCAATAGCAATACACGATAGATCTCAAAATACATTTTCTGTTTATAAAGAAAACTCTACCAAAAGATTGTAAATTGTGATACTCATTTTCTGCTTATCATCCAATAAAATTGGAAATTCACGATAAGTAGCTGAACCAAAATATCCACTTGAAAAGAGGACACTTCTTTCAAAATGATCTTTGAAGACAAAATTAGAAAGGAGAGGAAAGCTCATCTGAAATCTCCTCACAGGAGAAAGGAAACATTTCTCTTTACAAGTAAACATTGTATCTTCAGGTGTTTCCTCTCTCATCACATCCAGCACTGATGCTGTTAGGTCATTCATTTGGGCAGTGATTCCATTAGGAAGCTGGGTTGACTATTCTATTCTTGCATCTGATAGAATCTGATAGAATTGACCATTTTGTGAAATGTAGCTTTCACACAAAAGCTGAACTCCACATGATTTCTGACCATGTAATCTGTCACTGTATGGCCATGGATATGAAGCTTTAAGTTTTGACCATTTTGTGTTTGGTTTCAACAGTCTACAAGGATATCTGGAATGACAGCGTGTATCTCAGTTGTATAAGGTTGAAGATCTCAGGCTATTGAGACACTGAAGTTGCAGATGTTAGTCACAAGCACCTGGCAGGTAATTTACAGTGGAGGATTGAAACAACAATTATCCTCTATTGTGCATTATCCTCTATTGATCTCTTGCTGGGCTCCTTTGCCACTGCTCTGTGGAGGATTCTAGGAGCATAGTCCTCACTTTCCTTCCTGGTCATGTGTGTCTGCTTGGCCGGGTGGACATTTTGTCCACTGGAACTCTGGTATTGTGAAGTAAACACAAAGGGGAAGTGCTCTTGCCATGGCTTTCTTCAACTGTGTAATGGAGAAAAGATAATATATCTTCCTACAACAGGCATAAAAGCCCAGGAGGGCAACTATTCAAGAATTATTTGAACAATGAAATAATGAGGGAAGAGGGTTTATATTCCTTTAGGAATCTGTGAGTGGCTCTGGCATTTGACTGATGTGCTTTCTGTGATCTGTTTTCTCCTTTGCATGTTTCCCTGTGTTTTGCTTCATCAGTGTGTTTCTGGGCTTAGGAATGGCCTTTTGTTGTAAGAATTGTGATTTTGGTTTGACTGAGTTTAGCACTTCTGGCAGTTCAGCATTGTCTCCCTCCCTGGAGCACTGGTGTGGCATCAGGTTGTTTTTCCCCCAGGGTCCTGCAGTTGTGCATGGCGACTCCACTCCCTCCCAGCAGGTTGAGGGAGGCTTCCCTACTTGCATGGAAGTAAGCCAGCAGCTTCCCACACAGGTGATGGCTGTTACAAAGGAGACTTTTCAATACTCAGATTTCAAGGCTTGTGGAACAGTTCATAAGAACACCTGACTGAAAGCCTAGCCGCTAGCGGGACCTGCTCTTCCTCATTCTGCAGAGAAAAAAATTACCTCAAAGCCCGAAAGGATTTCATCTTAGAATAGGATATGCAGAAGTCTCTGCCATTAACCAAGACAAAGAAAAGCACCCACCAAAACCTTGCTCTTGTAAAGAAATGGTTTTAACAGGCTATTAGTGTTTCCACATAGGTTTTTAATCTAAATGACCTGACATTTGAGTCTTTGTGCATTGTGCAATGCATTTCACATAACTCATTGGAGAATATGATTTTCTCTGGTTGGAGTCTAGGCATCTGGGCTGAATAAAGGACAGCCTAGGATAGAGCCCCATGCCCGCTTTCCTGGAGGGCTGGGGGCTCAGGAACGGCAAGATTCCCTCATACTCTGTCATCTTTGCCATGTAGATGTTTGGGGCAGACTGATACAATCGATTGCAGTGTGAAGAAGGCTTGGGTGAGCTCCTCAAGTGCACGCTG